TCCATAAAGGAGGTAGTCGCACTGACCCTACCAACTACCGTCCAATAACACTACTTCCTGTACTATCCAAAGTTATGGAATCCATCATCCCAGATGTGCTGATGCAGTATCTTGAAAGCCACAATTTACTAGCCCCAGAGCAACATGGCTTTCGTCAAAAGTGTTCATGTAATACTAACCTATTAATTGCACGTAATAGCTGGACTGAAACTGTTGATGATGGAATAGTAGTCGATGTCATCTACTCGGAATGTGACCTTGGTGTGCTCGTACAGAGGGACCTCAACTGTTCAAAACAGGCTGAGGTAGCTTCGAACAGAGGCAACCAGCACGTCAGCATGCTGCAGAAGGCATTCGGGAGATTTGACCCATTAATCTTCCCAATGATGCACAATTCCTACATGCGCCCACATGTTGAATACGCTATCCAAGCTTGGAAGCGCGACCTAGAGGCGTTAGAGGCACCACAACGAAGCGCAACAAAGAATGTAAAGGGCCTGCGCTATCATTTACCACCGAAGGCTGAAGTTGCCGAGAATTTTCAGCGGACGCTATCGAAGGCTGCGCGGCGATCTCATATATTAGAGTATCAGATATTGAGTGACCCCAACCACGTATGCTGCCATTTGTCGAAACTTAGCCCCAACTCGCAGCTCAGAGTTAACTACTTACAATTGAAGGAACAATATAGCCGTCTGGAGTGTCGATGTAATTACTTTTCCTTTCGGGTTTTCCATCCCTGGAACGCACTTCCATACTCAGTTGTATCCTCCCCTATCTTGGACATTTTCAAAAAATGATTAGATGTTGCTCTTAGCTCCCAGCATTTTGTTACCTAAACTTCTCTATTGTGGATTACGCCAAGCATACTTTTCTACAGGATTTATGTATCAAATGGACCTAAGTGAGCGACCATATTTTACTTTTCTGACGCCTTATAGCAACGACCACTGCACCGCAGTGTATTTCTGAAAGTTTGCGGTCGATTTTTTTAAATTTTACACTGATGTTATTTATTAAGGTATTTATCTCGGCAGACGTTCTGCAGGTGACCCACTTATATTTTGAGTTCATCGTATTCACCCCAACCATCCTACGGGACGTGTCAAGCACTTGTTTTTATCCCGTAATAAATCATTCTTCATTGTTCATGCGGCGAACATGCCTGAGGCACCACAGGTGCCTCAACAGAAGTATGCGGTCCACTACATACATGCAACTGCGTCGGGGCACCCCATGTCTGCGACTCGGTCATCCCAGCCGATGCGCAGAACACGATGTAGACACTGTTATTGATAGCTCTCTAGATAATGGACAGCCTTTCCATAAAACGTTCAGGTTTCGTCGCCACATGGAAAATCGGACAGCACCATCGATCTGCATATAATCAGCTTCATCCCAACAGTGGACTGTTTTTGTTCCGCAGACATTTTCCCAGAATTGCCAAATACGACAGCCGCCTTCGATAAGGCCACGCGCAGCTCGCTCGTCATCTACAGGTTTGTAGACACTACACTGTCGGGGTAGAAAATCTCGAAGTGGCTTCCAAAACGTCGTTGCCAATGCGAATTTCCGGCAGGCCCACGGACCACACTTCTAGAGAAAGCTGAAAATGACGAACAGTTTTGCTTGTGTTGTTGGTGAGCCCGAATTTGGCAGCTGTCGAAGCGACAGTCAAAACCATGCGCTACAGCTCATTCGCACCGTGTGCAGACAACGCCCAGTCCTCTGTAAACAGCAGCATACAAATGGTTGTCTCACACAATGGGTTCTCGCTCCGAAACGACAGAGGTCCGGCCACCTATCATCAGTAGGGTGCTCCACACAGGACACCGTAATCGCAAGCAACCTCAAAAGCACAACACATCATAGCCTTTAGGTCAATGTTAAATAGAGCAAGTGCTGTGACACAGCCTTGCTTCACACCAAAGACAACAGTAAAGGCATCCGAAGTTGGTCCACTCAGCTGCACCTTGGCCTGCATAACACTGCAGATATTCTATTAAACTTACAACCTAACAGACAACGAAGTCTACTCAACAGCAGCCACAGAGCTTCGCGTTTTGCCGTGTCAAATGCCTTAGTGAAATCAACTGAGAGCGAGTGCCTTGGCTGGTGTCGCATTCTGGATTTTTCCTGCAACTGACAAGCCGTGATGCTGCCCGAACGGAATCCGCGTTGCCCTTCCGCCATCTTCGGTTCAACGGCCAGAGTGACGGTGCGGTTGAGTAGGATTCAGGTGATCACATTCCCCACACAACTCAGCAACTTGATGCCACGATAATTCGTACAGCATTGCTTGTTAATTTTGCTCATGTACGGTGGTAACACATGGGCATCCTTTAGGTCAGCCCGCACTTCCACTTCAATCCACACATGCTGCACGAGGCGGTGCTACGCATTTGCCGATGCGGGCCCACCGTGTTTTAACACTTCAGGTGGGATCCAGTCGGCACCGCCGCACTTGCCGCTTCGTAGCTGAGCGAGTGCTCCCTGCACCTCATCCAGTCTCTCGTTGTTGAAGCCCATGCAACACAGTCCAGTCAATCTCCGAATGGTTGTTCAAGCGACAGTCGAAGTATATTCGCCAGATCTGCATTGTTAGTGCAGTCTGTGGGCAGAAAACGCCTGCAGTATCATCGAGCAGCGCTCGCAGCGGCTGCAACCTAGGTCCATATACCGCTTTCAAAGTTAAAAAATTCCTTATGTTGGTGGTGTTCGGCGTAGCACTTCATCTGCCTCTCCTACTCCATCCACCACGGATGCTTGATGCGACGGGGCTCTCGAGTCAATCGTCCTCGAAGTTTACGAAAATGGCTCTCCTACTCTACACCGGAAGCGTAATTCACATGCACAGTAAACACTGCATTTTACTCTCATATCAGTGCGCCAATGGTCGCACTGTCGTCATCAAACCAATCTGACCACGCCGTGGCATCACGCCTAACGCGCGTGTTGAAATCACACAGTGGGAATAGCCTGCCGATCCTCGGCACGGTTGTATCATGGAGGACATCTGAGAGTAAGATTGGCCCTTCGTGTCATCAGGATAACACTTGGTAGGACCATACGCATTAATAATGTTGGAAAACTTACTCTCTCTGAAGCCTAGACGATCAGTCATAAATCATGCGCTCATGCCATCCGGCTATTCAGGTGGCTATTTAGGTGCTCGGACAGTGCAGATCCCATCCCATTTTCACATTGTGCAGTGGTGGCGTTTCCCACCGAGTAGAGCGTGTCACCAGCTCCACCCACATGCAGCTTGCTTTAGTCAGCCAGCAGAGCCTCACTGAGCACGGCAATATTAATACCGCAGCGACCGAGTTTCATGGCGACCAGTGCAGTGCGTGTCGCGGAGCGCCCATCCGTGTTACGGTCCAGGAGCGTGAGCATCCGATCTCGGGCGCTTTGCGCGGAAGCATACGATTGCAGCTGGCAGTGGTTCGGGTGGTCAGCTGAGCTTGTAGTGTGGGTTGGGACAGGTATGATGGGTATGGTGGAATTGGGGCTGGTAGGGGAGATTGTGGAGGGGATAGGGAAGAAGCAAGAAGGGAGATGTAGGCGATAGCGTGCTTTCGTTTCTCCACTCTGGTTTATGCAGCAGATAAGGTGACTCATATCCATCCACTGCACGACGGCTGATGTGGCATGAAATTAGCTGTCGTTGTATAGTTCATAGTTTATGGTTTGACTTATATACTGCCAACACTGAACAGGTTAACAACTCGTGTCCTCAGGCAAGACCTTTGATAATATGTAATCAAGGAATTCAGTGGGAAATGCGTTGTGTCTGTAGACTCACACGGATGCGCCCTGCCTCTTAACTGGAAGAAGAATGAAACCTGACTCAAACTCAGCGGTCGACACGAGGAGGGGTCTGTCACCTGAGTCCATGACAGGACAAAGGTCGCCGCCACCAGCTTCAGTCAGCCACGGAGTGTTCGGCCACACTATATATATATATATATATATATATATATATATATATATATATATATATATATATATATATATATATATAATTTATGACACAGAATGGTTCACACTTATAAGCTGGAAGACCAGGATCGTCAACACTGTCCTCACGAAAAGGATCACGGTGTGTTGGTTAAAGAAGATCTCGGCTACTCGGAGCAGGCCGAAAAAGCATAGAAGAATTGGATCTAAATTGTGTGGCTTCTACGGAGAACTTTCGGACGCCTCAAACCATCTATGTTGCGCCAACTACTTCCAGTTTAGATACGTCCTCATGTTGATTATGAAATTCAAACATGACACATATAGCTAAAGCGGGATCTCAATCCCGTGATGATTCCGCAACTTTATGCGACCAAAAATGTCAAGGAACTAGGCCACTTATCGTACGAACAGCGCCTCAGAACGCTAGGGCATTTTTAGAGGAATCTATATATATATATATATATATATATATATATAGTGACTTCGGTTTTAGTTAATATGAATTCACTTGCACAACGAACACATGTATATCTGGGCATCTTCGGTCATTTTGCGTATCTGTGGTAGAACGCCGCGGTTTTTTCCTGCCTAATCCTCCTTAAAAAGAAACTTGGGTATGAAAGCTAACCATGGTTTTCAGCCAAGCTCAAAATCACTTTTTTCCATGCTTATAGAAGGTCACCTTGAATTCATAGTTTGACTGTCAGTTAAATGATGTAGCTACGTACCCTGCTATTGGCGTAAAACCAAAGCTTACATCGTCGAATGGCCTCTGTGCGTTATCAGAGAACAACGATTTTGCCTTTTCTGTTTCATTATCTATACGAAAAATGCTTTCACATGTGAGCATTCATCCTAAGCCACAGTCGATCTGCGCTCATGCGTGCTTATGGCCTCTGGTTAGATCGAGAACTATTCGATTTTTTGCTTAGGAACGACTGATCTTGTGTCAAATTCATCTGTTCATGGTGGTTTATGTTTATTTAAACTTCTCTTCCTCTATGACATGTACCACGGTTGGTTTCTGTTTCTCCCAGGCAAGCCGCTCCGTCTGTTCCCAGAATCGTCACAGGAGAATTCTTCGGGAAGCATCTCTTCTAACCGAATCTCACCTAGTTCTGTGACTCCAGGATCGACACCTTCCAATGACGAAATCCGCGTGGATCTTCGGAAGGCTGGCAATGGTTCTGGTCGCTCGGTCCGACTGGAGCTGCTGGAGTTGCTTGACCTGGTTTTGGAGGTGGCCAAAACGTCTGTCTCCAACACTGGACAGCTCCGTGGTGGTGCTGCAGCTGGTGATGACTGTGAACCACATCGGCCTCCGGTGGGTCTAATCACTCAGCTACTTTGGCGCTCCAGGGCGCTGGACGATCGTGGGCCTTGGATTCTCACTTTTGCTATATGGTGGCTAATGCAGCACTACTTTGGCATTGGCAGTCGCGTTCACCATGTTCGTCTCCGCTGGGGACATTTGCGCCTTGTTTCCAATGTTCGTGACCCAATGACAGATGAATTATGCGAAGCGATTGAATATGTTGGACCACCCGAGTTTATTACTGTCAAAGCGGTGGCACTGCTGGAGCATTGCGGTGAGTCTGAAACGCCAGTCCGTCGTGTTTATCCCTCTTCCGGTTGGGCTGAAGCTGAAATGACAATTGCTTCTGCCCTAATGGCGGGAACACAGCTGGGACATCCAAAAATTCGGCCTCTAGATACTGGACCTGATGTGCCACCTGTCGAACCTCGTCCTGGCCCCAACTTCGTCAGTCTTTTCAAGGCGTTTACAAAGCGACGGCAACAGCCCTCTCTGCTTCCAGATGCACCATTTTACGTGCAACCTCTCAAGGTACTTTTATCCTCACTATGTCATTTTTATAACCGAAGACATATGAATGTACTGGATCAGGACAGTTGTTATCAACCTCGCTCCAATTTGTGCACCACAATTGGTGATAAGTATGCGTAGTATTAAAACACACTGCCTTTTTGAGCTCAGGGAGATTTGGAAACAATCGGTGCGTGTGTAAGTTAGACAGACTTTCCTCTTCTTTCAATGCTATTACGCAACATGGTAACACATGGACTATTCCTGCTGCTAACGAAAAACACCTGCGATGACATCCCGGCATCAATGGTCAATGGTCATTGGTATATTGCGGAAAAAGAAACCGAAGCCTGACATGTTAGTGGTAAGCTAAATGAAGGCAAAAAATAACAACAGGAAATAATGAGCAACCACAAATTGCTTACAGGGTTCCGCGTCTGAGCAGCCCACTTTTGGTTTTACGAATTATCCAAAGTAATCGTCTGTGGTTCCCTGGCAGACATGTGTTCTTGTTTTTCTGCTGTTTGTGTGGATCGTTTGGGTTATGTGATATGGTGTGATACGGCCACTGCACCGTCGACAGGGACTTTGAACACAGCTAACGTTACAGCTTCTGAGAGGGTGTTCCATGTGTGACAAACCCGCGATGAGAAGTTCATTCGACACTCCAATCGGCTGTATTGTTCTGCCAATTTGCGCTAATGACCTCTCACTTTGTTGTTGTGACTCAGCTTCAACAGGTGATGGTACGGGTGATTAGGGTTAAATTTGCTAAACCATGATTAGATCACCATGCAAACAGCGATAGATTCCTCTAAAAATGCCCTAGCGTTCTGAGGCGCTGTTCGTACGATAAGTGGCCTAGTCCCTTGACACTTTTGGTCGCCCAAAGTTGCGGAATCATCACGGGATTGAGATCCCGCTTTAGCTATTTGTGTCATGCTTGAATTTCATAATCAACATGAGGACGTATCTAAACTGGAAGTAGTTGGCGCAACATAGATGGTTTGAGGCGTCCGAAAGTTCTCCGTAGAAGCCACACAATTTAGATCCAATTCTTCTATGCTTTTTCGGCCTGCTCCGAGTAGCCGAGATCTTCTTTAACCAACACACCGTGATCCTTTTCGTGAGGACAGTGTTGACGATCCTGGTCTTCCAGCTTATAAGTGTGAACCATTCTGTGTCATAAATTTGAGCACTCGAAATCCAGCCACATTTCATAAAAGGCGATTTTGGTCTGACCATGCATAGCTCTTTTCACATTCGTTTTGCAGCTGGATACGGTCTTTCTCTCGCAGAAACATTTAGTGGTGCGAGTGCATGGATCCATGCCAGACTCAATGCACATCGAATGTGGTTCAGTACTGGGGCCCTGTCTATTCTTAGTCTCCAATAACAGTCCAGTAAGCCAAATCAGGTCAAACTATAGGTCCATGGAAACAAAGTTTGGCCTCTGCTAAGAGATTTGGTGGTAGTGGTACACGTTCTAGAAATAGGGCATGAAGTTGAATGGGTGAAATGGAGTGGGTCTATTGAATGTGTGGCGGGATCTCTTAGTCCCGTCATTGGACTGCTCCGTAGCCAGAGGAAAAATCAAACCATTGGCAGAGACTTACGCGTGCTGATTTTGTACTGCGAACCATTTGGAATCTCTCCATCCCCAATGTGCCAGTTGAAATAACACTTTGACCTATAACGTGATTTCCTTCCTACTTACATCCTGGTTGTCGCTGACCTCCTTTCGGTTTGCTCCATATGCTGCGCCAAATATCCTCTGGTACACTCGACATGACGCATTTTGTCCAAATTAGTGTAGTATACCAAAAGGTTGTTTTCAAACCCTTATGAAATTATGAGTTACAACCAGTTCCAAGCATATTTCCGCCTGTGCAATTGTTTTTTGTCTCTTCGGAAGAACCGGTTATCGTCTCTAGTTTAGTAGGGGTGCTCGCGGTACGCACACAGGGATTCATCTCATGCTGATCATCTTCAAAATTCCGGCATCCACTCTGTTCCGCGAACAAACTCTCCAACAATTAATGGACCAATTTTTCTTCCACCAAATGCATGTGGATCCGATCCTCACGTCTCACCGACTCCCTGAATATCGTTTCCACTAATACAAGACTACTACTCTTACCTTTCTAGATGTCCTTTTCACATTCCACTTACTCGACCGTTGTGTTTCATGGTTCTCCTTGCTGACAAACAGAACTCTCAAAAATCATAACACAGTCCTACAAACGCCAGATGTTCTGAAGTAGAAATGGAGTTTACCAGACACACCCTTAATCCTTTCGTTATTACCATCGGTGCACGACAGGCATGCTCTATGTCCCAATTCCTCTTCAACTCTGCATTTGTAGATGTTTTATCGAGGGTGTTGAAAACGCCAGAATCTTGGCTTTGTGTTTCTTTCAGAAAGTCGTGCGCTCGATTTCGATTGTGCTGATGATATCAGTCTACTCGATGAAGACCCCCCCAGCGCATACAGCTCACTTCGAACCATCTGACGACTGGATTATTTAAGTCCGGTATATCTTTCGCCTCAAATTGAAAAGCACTGCCCCTGCACTGACACTTAACTATCCCTGCACTTCAGTGCAAAACGTGAACACGTAGACGCCTTTACCTGTCTAATGGGCTGCGTTTCTGCCAAATGACGTCATTGAAAAGCAGGCACCTCTCCGTTTTACCGAAACAAGATAAGCGCTTGCTATTCTACGAAATCTGGTGTCGACTGATCGTCTGTCTCCTCTCCTTCGTTAAATGGCAGGGTTTACAAGAACACTCCGCGCGGGATTACCGCATAGAAGTGGGTCCTGGCCGGTTCACGTACGTGCGCCGTATTTCGATCTCCAACATTGGGCACTGGTGGAGGATCTGGCGTGTGTGTTGGGAACATCCGGTTTGCAACGCTGAGATCAGCCGCAGTTTCTTGAGGTTTTCATTTCAGAATGCTTGTCACGTTGAGCTAATCAAGATGGCTCGATCACGATCTATCTATGTCATGCTACTCGCTATTTACTCGCGCACGGCTGCACTGTAGGTGACCCCATAGTAAATAATTAAATAAACAAGTCACAAGGCTACACGAACACAGCCTTGCCATTCGTCGCCACGATCAGAACTCCCTGATGCCAGTGCATATGGATGCCGAGAACCATCAATTCGACCTAGAGCATGCCAGTATCCTCGGAAGGGCTAAAAGCCGGCAAGCACGTGAGTTCATTGAAGCCTGGCCTTCAAAGCAGAACTCGATGAATAAGCACTTGGACATTGAAATCGCTTACGATGCACTGCGAACCAGGCCCCTGAAGCCGTACTGATGATGTTGCGTAGTCAGTCAACGAAACATCTGCACAACAATCACTCAGCTCGGAGAACAGCTCAAAACCCGCATCCACACTCCGAGCTACGGATATTCTCATTTATTTCAAAACAACTTTTTCTTTTCTGGTGTTTCGAGACATATTTCTCTAAGCATAAACATGAACATTATAGGGAGTTCATTACGGTATCTTTTCTATCAACAGTACCCATATATATCATCTATTAAGTTCACCGTACTGAAGTGCATGAGTCGTGTGTAACCTCAGCTTTGCACACCGTTAACACGGTACCTCTTTGAGTTTAGGGTTGATGTTTGCGATTACGTTAGAAGTATGAATGCTTGTCTGTCTAGACTGTAGTTGTTACATTGACAATGTTCACGCCTGTTCAAGCGAAATACATGATTGAGTAGACATTTTGAAAGGAACACTCAGCTACGAATGAGGTGTGACGCCACTCACCCGATGTACGCCTACGCTACCACTAGCGGTCTATATATAACAGCCCTTTTGGAGCATACACACCCTTTTAGTACAGATGAAAAGCAAGTTGAAGGAGGATGACAGCTGCTGCACCTTCGAGTGACGTCGCCATTGAGCACAAGACGGGCAAATGGGGTTGAATATCGCTCATATGATTGTTTTCGTTTCTCCGAAAGAGAGATGTATGCTGTATCGTTCGATGTATCGTTTAATTCACTCTTGCTTCGAACAGAGGTGGTGACTGAAAATCATGGTGGGAAGGAACAATCCGCTCCATGAAGTTGGTGGTGCATGTCTTAACTGATGTACCTATCTCCATAGGCTTCCCTCCTCATCCTGGTGAAATTGCAAATCAACGGTGATACACAGTGTACACACACACACACACACTCTCTCACACATCTAGCCAGCGCTGTCGTGGCGATCGCGCCTCAGCAAGCTACACGTCGTTTTGTTCGCGTTATATGATTGTTTTTCGTCCAACTTCCTTCAACAGGCTAGTGCACAATTTCACGCCTGCTAACATCAGGAACCTTATTTATGGCTCAGATAGTAATTGTTTCTTCTAGAACGCATTACTTTTTGGTGATTTCCACCTGACTCTTGCATCTGTTTATACCGGTTTTTACCATTGGTTTGGTTCATGACGTTTATTGATATTAGTCAGTATTGAAATGTACTTGCGATATACTGATACTAGCGCGTGCCGCCCAATAATCGTTTCACTAATGCCGTCCCGTTGAAATTAATGTCAATCAACTTGACAATATTAAAATGCTATCAACGTTTCATCTGCTTTTTGCATAATTCGCACTACATCCAAATCTCATCGATCGTGCTTTCTTTCTATCTTTCAAAGTCGTCACCAACGGTACTGAACTGCAACTCGTCTGTGGCCTGGTTCAGTGTCGCGGCTTTGGGAAAAAATAGAGTTGGCGCTCTGATGCGCAACATTGTCAACAGGGTCGTTCGACCCAACCTCGCTCACATCGCTTCTGCTGCTACCATGTCCGCCTATAAGGCATGCGTGGAGGCCACCCAACGCACCGTGAAGGCTGTTCCTCTTCTTGAGCTGAACCCAGCCTTTCGCCCTGATGTGAATCATCGACTGTTGGTGAGCAAGTTGTCTTACATCTTGTGTCTGGATATGTCCGTTACGTCATCATCGAAAACCAGATGTGTGGCCCAACAACCATCTCCGTGCCTACACTCGAATACACTCACATATACACAGTCCGCGGACACCGTCCAACCACAGCCAAACGAATCTCTATCCGGCCTCAAGTTACCATTAGCATCGGGTGGACCCACCACGTCTACGATTAATTGCCTACCACAAACGGTGCCGTTGCATAATACCTCGTTTGCACAAACCACTCAGTTGGTCGGACTTGACCTCCAGGATGTATGCGCTCGACCTCAATTTCAGTCATACCCCTGCCAGACGTCAAGCTTACTCTTGTTAACTTCTGCTGATGGGTCGAGCAGGCAATTGATCGCTTGCCAGCCGTCTTTGCAACAACCGTTACAAACCAATGCCCAAAACGGACTGGTTCTTATCCCCACCGCGAGTGCAAACTCACTCAGTTGGAATGGGAACCTACTTCGGAATGTGACGGCCGATACAAGCCTCCCACCTCAACCGTTGCCTGTCACAGGTGAGGGAAGTGAAATGAGGGCTCGGGTAAGTTTTCCTCCTATACCAATGCGCTATGCTCGGTCTAGTGGGAATCCCGTCCGCGGAAACTCATACCTTATACAATACTTTTTGTGACCAGCCATTTGCTACTTGTACTCACTTTGCATGGTACTCTCGCTTGTAAAGCCCGATTTACACTCCACACTATCTGGTGAGCCCAGTCAATCGTAGACGTTGAGTTAAGCACATTGACTTTTATACTGCTTCGGGGATGATGGCAATATTGCCACTAAATGACCATCAATATCCTCACTGTGGGCTCCCTTTCAATGCCCACCGGATAGAAAGTGGGGATCATTACACATTGCAGGTGAACCCAAAATGCGAAAACGTATTTCAACCTTGGTTAATATACGGGTTAGGTTCTAAACCAAAAATTATGCTGTCAAACTCTGGTGCGAATATCTGATATGGCCACCATAGCATTGCAGCACAAAACGTCACTTTGCTTTTGGGAGGCGTTACTTCGGAGTCATGGGTAATTTTAGGGGATTCAACTAACAGCCCCACTACAGCAGACTGACTGAATTACTCTTCGAGTTAGTCCACCTGAGGTCAAAGTCGATCGCTTGTCCATCGTTCCCATCTACTGCTTCATTTAAAAACACTACTTTCAGGGATATACTTCAGGGGATCTGGAACAAAGGTTATATGTCACCAATGACGCTGACCTTGTCCGTTTCTCGTGTCTTCGCCAATCACCATCACTTCGGGCCACTTCTGGGGCTCTTATTCAGATAACCTTTTGTTATTTCGAATAGTAAATCTGGCTTCAAACCACGCTCAACACTTGACAAGTATACAGTTGACAGAGTGCCACAACCTATGAGTAACAGTAAAAATGAGGGAAGAAGAGGCAGTCAGGGGAAGCGAATCTCACGACACATTCACCATCGGGTGCGATTCCGGGCCGTGTCCTATAACCTTTTCAAGCGATTGTGTTCACTGTCCTTGGGCCTCCAAACCGGGAGTTTAGGAAGTCCCACTGTGGCCAACTGCAATGTCAGCGCCTTGGCACCCCGGACCCAGGTCGTTTGTTGACCACCTTTCCGTCGCTTCCAATCAGCGCCGGCGCGTACAAACAAAGTGCGGCTGGACATCCATTGAGCAGACAAACGGAGCACAATTCCGAGTCATTGGAGGGCACGGAAGGAAAGTATGTAGCTCAGTGGTCGGCGGAGTCTGCTTGACTTGAAAATTCGACGACAAACGTCGCCACTAAAATGTGATGATGCCAACGTATACCAGCGATCCTCCGGAGTCAATGATAATCAAAAACAATCTGTGGACATTGCCCGGTTGAACGGGCACGGTTTTGCAGCCATACAGAAGTGCTGCTCATGCTGTAGCACTGTAGAGTGGGTTCGCCGGAGCTAAGGATGTCGAAGTTTGGCAAAGGCCACTCTGACTTTGGCGGTGCGCAAATTGATCCCAACCATTAATCCACCCTCGCTAATGCAACTCCTAAGGTGGACGAACTTCCACTGAGCAACTGGAGAAAGTAGGAGCTAATTCTAACTAGTCTTGCAGGAAAACCTTGTACTTGGAAGGGGCATAGGTCATTCCGATATTTGAGACAAACATCTCCAACCTGCGTGGCATGTCCAGGGTAGCCTACGAGAGATCACGGATTACGGTGATGTCAACATAATCCGATTCACGGAGCCGATCACCCGGGAGTAAGTCGACGACACTAGATCCACAGTTTTCTAACACATTCTATACGATGTCATCCATAGCGGTTGAACAAGAATGCGACGCATTCCTATTTCACACCACTGGTGATGTCGAAGGATTGGAAATGACCACCGTATACTCGCACGCGTCCCAATCCTAGAGAATCAATAATAAGGGATATAATTCATTTGAAAGGTTAGAGTGGCGTATTTCCATCCGTATAAAACTGACAACAAATCCGGAACTGGATAGCGTTACTATTTACAACTGCGTAATTGCGCATTTAAAATACCTCACCATGACTCTTCCAAACTCATTGCAATTATCTTTCGGTCCGAAAACCAACAAGCTTGACTTCAGAGCCTCCGGGGTATGAAATGACGGCAGTAAAGTGCACCGGGTATTTATAGGACAGGTGAAAGGATAGGATTAGTGGATCACGCGAAATGGAGGTAACTTAGGACCCTTTGCAATCATGTTACGGGTAAGGTGCTCCGCGATTTTCGCTGACAGCCTTCTCTTAGTACGGCCACTGCACTTGATACTGTAAGTACAGCGAAAGAGGTAAATAGGTAAAAGTGAGCATTTCGTATACGAGGCCGCAACGTGGTAGTTTCCAGGTGTCCCACAAAGATGTGAACAAAGAGCATACACCGAAGGAGACCATGTTTCCCGTCGACGTTTCAATTCCTTATTCCATTAACGAATGTGTCTTTAACGCTGTACTCGGCTAGTTCCCTCAGGATAGACTCGATTACATTTGTCAGGTACCTGGACAACTTCTGAAACAATTGGTGATAAGCGGATGCCTTCCTTGTAGTTTTTCTGCAGTCCTTGCAACTAAAGAAACCGAGATGTTCGGGTGATCGACTGTGTCAAAACTTTTTTGTGATTCCATCCCACCATCGTTAGAATGTATAGTTCACAAACTTTTGACTTCATAACCTGTTCGGTTTTGTCGCTGCCCGTCACATCACGAACGAATCGACTAGGGTCTGCGAGAACCTTTTGCATTTTCTGTGAACTTGCTGTTTCAAGTAACCCCAGAGGATGAAATTCAATAAGTTCAAGTCCGGTGACCAAGCAGACCACTCTATAGTCCTCCTCGCCCGGTCCAACGGTAAGGGAACGTCTGGTTAAGAAATCACGCAACGCTTGTGCATAATGTGAAGGAGCGCAATATTATTGTAACCAAACAGTACTTAAGAACCCAGCAGCTTCCAGTTACGTACTGACACAATTATGCAGTAATTCCTTGTACGAGGATGCTAAAAAACGTAAGGCATAAGTATTGCGAAACATCAATCTACCAGTCACATTACCATGAAAAATGCTCTCACGATTCGTTGGCCAGTTAATCTAACCCATACCATGAGGCTTGCGCCATGTCGTATACGGGAAACGCTGCATCAGCATGGATTACACGTTGCCCAAAGTTGTTGCTTCTCCGCACCGTACAAACGGAAGACAGCCTTATCGGTCAAAAGAATTGCATGGATGTCCATAGCATTCAAAAATCTGCGGCAAAAGCAATCCGCTTCTCCGAATCACATGGGTTTAAAACCTGTACTTGACGGGCGCTATATTTCCGGAATTTCCTTTCCTTCAAACTCCTATGGACAGCACCTCTGATAGTATCGCAATGTTGGGAGGGTTTACAAATACACACATTGCAGCTTCTGGATACCTCAAGAAGAATCACACAAGCAGAAATGTCATCCGTGGGGATGCGAGGCCGCCCTATCTTTTTGGCGTCACCAACGCTCCCAGTTTGCTCAAATTTTCTCACCATCCTACGAATGTATCGTCCGTTGATGGGCCGCTTGGCACTGTGGATAGTGTTGTATTGTCGAGCAGTTTGTTCAGCGTTGCACCCGCACTCAGCATACAGACGAAATATAATCACTGGCTGATTAACAGGTACGTAACGCGAATCGGATTGATGAGGATAACTTGGTGACGGCGATATATGTTCGTGATCCATCGCCCAGCCAGTGATCCGGTAAACAAACGGCAAAAACTTCACCACTTCGCCTAGTCATAGCCCGACTGCTGTGTGTGAGCGTGTGTGTGTGCGTTTTGTGACCAGCCTCGCCCTCCACTGGTGGGGTCGTCGCTCATTGCCCTCACACGACCTCCGTTAGTGGTTTGCTTTTCAGTCCGCAGTTGTATCGGAGTCTGGTTATCGTGTGCTTTGGACAATGTGGTCGGCTGAGTCTCTGCGCCAAAGTTGCCGTCTGACGTTGCAGTTTACAGTCGAGTTTCCACTTCACATTCGGCCCGCCAAAAGTGGCAGAGAGACAACTGTGACACAGCTTACGCATTCTTATGGACGCTTGCGCTCCTACACAGCGTGTCGATTAGACATCTTCAGTTTAGGGAGGACGCATCGGGTTTCCTTCAGACGCCCATTGATGTAACAAACAGAGATGCCCCTGGACCTATATTCCAGGACTGCCTGTACATGATTTTTTGCACGTCACTCTAAAGAGAATTTTAAGAGGGCGCATCGGTTACTGTATTCCTAGGTTGAAACTTTTTTATTTTCTTCTCGCGATTTGTGCAATTGTTTGTCGGACTGCGTCGTGTAAGTGGTAATCTTACTTGAAGTCAGTGACGCAAGCACGACCATGCGGCACTTGAGAAGCACGGATTTTCGCCCATAGAATAGATCGTTAGATTTTGCAGTGAACGCTCAATTGCATTTCCACTCTAACAACCCACAGGTACCAACTAACCCACATTTAGATGCGATTGTGAACTCGAAGGGCAGAACTGCATGGCTTGTCACTAAGACGCAAGCGATCGAATTTTTCGTGCTAGGGCACCGGAAGAGCCTTGAGCCATGTTCGATCTTGGGCGAAGTGGTTTGGTCAGCCGTCATTAGACGTGACATTTCACAGAGCGTTCATCTGTCAACTTGCTCCCAACAGGTCCAAAGAAATACATCTTCACAACTTGACTGACTGGTGACAAAACTGTGCGATTCCAGCTGGACTTTGGCCCCATCACCAACCTCGTCTTCAAGTTATCCCGGGCCACAAATGCTATTGAACTGATGCCATCTGTGCATGCGGAGCGGCCCCAGACTGTATCCAAAGTGTTCAGTTACGACGAAAATGCCTCGTACTTAGCGAACTTCGAGGTTTCGGAGGAGGAATTCATGCCTGTCATCCGCACTGATTCCGTCTAATATTTTAGATTTACTATATACTACCGGATATGAGCCCGTCCATAGATCAGCCGACAGCATAACTTTGCAACATCAAATATGTTCAAAGTTGTAAGTCCCTGTATTAGCCGACCTC